TGATGCAGGACGCGGCGCTGGGGGTCCTCGCGGTCCTCGCTGACAGTAATTCTTCATTACGGTGCGTTTTGCGGGAGAGAGAGAGAGAACGGGGTCGTTGTCGAATTCTTTCGATTCTTTTCTGGGCGTGGACGCGCGGAATGGAGTCGTCGATCCGCGGCGGCGCTGTCCAGCGGACTGTCCACGCGGTGTCACAGTCCTCGCCGATAATCGGGACATCTGTTTTCTTTCCGCGCGCCCCGCCGCCCCGCCGCCCCGGCCGTCGGACTGGCCGGCTTCGCCTCGGCCGCGTCGTCGGCGAGGCGCGGACGTGACGGCGATCCGCTTGACGGCGTCCCCGTGGCGGTGGCGGCGGTGCGGTCGGCGGTAGGGACTCACTCCCCTCGACGCGCTGCCGCGCCGCCCCGCGCCGACGCCTTATCACAATGGCTGGCTGGACACCGTGTCCGCGACACGCTGGACGCGGACAGCTGGGGTCATTGCGCCGCCTGCGCCGCCAGCACCGCGTCACCGCGAGGTGGCCGTCGTGGCCGCGCCGAGGGCCTCGGCCGCCTCCAGCGCGACGCCTCGGCCGGCCTCGGCCACGACGCGCGGGGGGCCACTGTCAGACGCCCCGACACTCTCTCGCACTCGTGGGGCGTCCCGCCTAGGTGCGAGAGAGGCGCGGGCGACGAAAACGACTCTCGGAATCAGTTTGGAGGCCCCGCCCGGCTCGTGTGGGTTCTCATGGCGTTCATTACCCGGACGAGGGCACATTTATCACGCATTGTCCCTCCCGGGCCTCTCGGCCGGGCCGGGCCGGGCCGGGGCCAGGCCGCTCGGGATGCGACGCGAGTCGGACGCGAGGGTGGCGGTGCCGTGCCAGTCGGACTGAGACTGATAGCTCAATGAAGGCCTCCGTCGCGTCGCCAGGGCCTGGCAGGCCTGGTCGCCCTCCACTGCTTCTCGTCCGGGGCTTGCAGGGCAGGGTTCGCAAGGCGCGGCGCGAACCTGCCCCACGACGTCTCATTCCTCGTGTGTGTGTGTGTGTGTGTGTGTGTGTGTGTGTGTGTGTGTGTGTGTGTGTGTGTGTGTGTGTGTGAGTGTGTGAGTGAGTGAGTGTGCGCACTGCCCCTTACCTGCGATTCTTTGAATCGGATGATCGGGGCTCTCTCGCCCGGCTGGCTTTGTGTGCCCCGGCGTTGCCTGGCGTTGCGTTGCGCTTTTGTATATTTGGCCCTTTATGCGTGGCCCGACTTGGGAGCGACTGGAAGAAAGCTGGTCGTGCGAGGACTGCGAGGGGGAGTCGGTTTATGCTGTCATTTCTGTCAGGCGGGAAGACCAGCGCGCAAGGTGCGGCGGCCTGGCGGCCCGGCGGGGCTGCCGGCCCCGGAGTGGCAGTGGCACACACACTGGAAATTTTTATACTTTTCCCCGTTCCGCATCCGTCCTTTGTATTTGTCGCAGGCGGTGACATAACCTACAATGTTTATAAGGCATCGACGCGGCCGCGCGGCGCGCTCACAAAAGGCGGGAGAGGGGCCGGCAGGGCCGTCAGGGCCTTGGCCAGGCCGCCGTCGGGGCTCCTTCAAATTTTTACGATTTTTCTTCCCTGGCCGAGCCGGGGCAGTCAGCCGGTCGCCGGCGCGCTGGCGCGCTCTCGCTCGCTCTCGGCCGCCGTCGCCGCCGTCCTCGTTGTGGTTGTTTTATCGATTTGGCATGCCGTGGCCGCGGGTAAGCGGCCCGCAGTAACCGACCGAAATACGACGTCTTTGAACGGCGAGCCGCGGAGCCGCGCTGCGTTTGCTTGCGTGCCATGGAAATGCCGCCAGTGCGAGCATGCTCGCCAAATACGGAACTAGACACGGCGATATTTCGGACGGACAGACGGACAGACAGGCAGACAGACAGGCGGGCAGTCGGACGGAAGGACGCGCAGGGAGGGGCCCTCCTCGTGGTCCTCCTGTCCCACACCGCGGACGGACGACGGGACGAACGCACCGAACTGTCCTGCGGCATTTTTACGGTCCCATTTTTGATCGTAAAAATTTGGAGTTTAGTTGCGTTTCTTCCTCCTTTTTCCCTATCATTTAGGACCGCGCGCGGCGCGGCGGACCGGAGGAGGGGGGGGGACCGAACGCGTATGCATATAAGGTATGTCATAAATTGTTTGACTTGTGCCTGGCCGGTCGCCAGCAGGTCGCCTCGCCGCGCCGCGCCAGCCCCGGACAAAAGGGCCTCGAAATGTTGAATGAATTTCACGTGGCTCAATGAAAGTGTCCCGGGCTGTCCGCCGCCCGACCCCCCGGCCCCCCCGACCGCCCCGACCGCCCCGCGACGGGCTCGCGAGGGGGCGCGCCATTCGAATCAGTTTGCCGGCCGGTGGGACGGGACAGGACAGGGCGTCCAGTTCTTTATCGGGGCTGGCCCACTGTGGGCTGGCCCATGGCCGCGGCGTCGCTGGGGACACGGCGAGTCGGAGGCACCCAGCAGTTCATCAAAGGCGCGGGCCTATGCATTCGGCCCCGCGAATCGTATACAGCGACCAGGCAGCGAGTGACGACAGGCCCGACAGCCCGACAGGCACATGCCGACGCCTGGCAGGGCCTGCCTCCGCGCCGCGGGCTGCCTCGCTCAGCCGGGCTGCGGGCTGATGCCGAGAGTCTTCTTCGCTCTGTCTCTCTCGCTCTCGTGGGGCGCCCCGCATGGGTGCGAGAGAGACAGAGCGATGGAAAGGGCTCTCAGCCTGCCGGAGGGCCGCGGCTTGCCTTACCGCGGACGCGGCGCGGTCGTGGCGGAGGGCCCCGCGGGGGGTCCCCAACGGGAGTGTTTCACACGGCCCTGCAGCCCGCGGAGGGGGGCCCTGCCGGCCCTGCCTGCGGGGGCCCTTGTGCGGGGCCTTGTGGGGCACAGTAGGGCCCCTCGGCAGGCACCCGCGGGCCCCTCCCCCTCGCCCCGCTTCGCCCCGCGCGCCGCGCCGCGGCCGGGGTCATACATTACCGGGCTTGTTACCGAACCGAATCGCGCAACAACACACCGACCGTCAGCAGAACAAATTCGCTAAAAAGACGTAAATTTAGGGAGGGCGGCGAGGCGAGGCGCGGCGAGGCGCGCGGCGCGTCGATGGCCCATCGGCCGCCCATTGGGCCTTCGGTCTGCGGGACGGTCCAATTACGGTGCAGGCACTCGCCGAGCCGGGATTGCACGCAAGCGTCTTTTTTCAGCGGGCTGGATGAATTAGAACGCCACTGCACTGGAAGGGCGCGGCGCGGCGTGCACTCTATGGACTCTCCAGCAGCGCAAGCGGCGCTCATCGCCGCCGAGCCGGCCGTTAAAATAATCGCTGCCGCGCGTGTGTGTTTTATTTATTCATTTCCCCTCTTTTTTCCCCCGGCGAGTTGTCTAACTTTTGCGACACGGGTGCGAACGTGGTTATCCTCCTGCTGCTACGTATATTAGCTCCGTGCGTCTGGATGGCTGGAGGCTGGCTGCTCGCAAGCGAGTCCCTGATACAAGTTGACGCCTCTGAGACTGCGCGATGATGTAGCCGTGCCCCGCTTCCCCTCCCCCTTCCCCCGCCTTAAGAACTAAAGTCGAAACTGGATTTATGAAATATTCATAACCGGCGTATCTGCCTGCTGTCCTGTCCAACTGCAGACGGCCCGGGGCCGGCCGGGCTGGCCTAAGGCCCTCTCCGACTGGGCCCGGTCGCCGTCCCGGTGCCCGTCCGGTTGCAGGCGGGCAAGTGCGTCGGCGCGGGGTGCGAGTTGCGTGGCTCTGCGGCGAGCCGCCCTGCCGCCCTGCGGCGCGGCCAGAGTTCTCCGTAAGGTGATGGTGGCCGTCGTCTTCCCCGCCGCCCCTCCCCGCGGTCACTTCTCACTGTTCTGTTTGGATTGCACACGATGGCGCGGGCTTGGCGGGCCTCGCTGACAAGTAGTGGAATGGTACGTGTGGCAGGCCTGCTGCAAAAGGCCGCGCGTACTCTGTTATAAATAATGCGCGTTTTGTTTTCCCTCTCGATTTGTTTTCGATTCCGCTTCGGCGGCGCGCGGCCGCGAGATGCGGTGGTTCTCGGCGGCGTGCGGTCGCGGCCCGTCACGCCTCGTTTCCCTTCGACACCCGCGATCGTCGTGATCGTGCGCGTGCGACGCGGGTTCGACTCCCACCTGCCGCAAGGCCGGCGGTAATTTTTTTTTCCTTCGTTTTTGTCTCGGTGGTGATTTATCGGGAGGAAGTATGAGAAATTGTGGCGGCGGCCGCACGTCGTTTCATGCGCCGGAGTTTGTCGTCTTGCCGCCCCTCTTGCTGGCCGGCGCGGCACGGCGGTGAGAAAAAATTACTCGGCGTGGAATGATCGTACATGAAAAATGGGTGGAGGCAGTGGGGCTTTGTTTCGGTGCCGCCCGTCCATGATTCACGTCACGCTGCCGAGAGCGGCCACAGGGCGGCCACAGGGCGGCCACAGGGCGGCCACAGGGCGCGGGAAACATCCCGAAGGTCTCCCATTTTCACGCACGCACGAGGGAATTTCCCGGCGAGACGGTGGTCAACCTGGTCGCCATCGTGGGGCGCTTCTTGTCGCGGAGCCGGCCGCACGACGCGCTGCTGGTGCTGCTGCCGCCCTGGCGACCGCCCCCCAGGCGCTGGCTGGCTGCGCTGGCGCGGCGGCCAGGTGTGCGATGTTATCTGGAGCAGCACTCGGAGTGCCTGGAGCTCGAGCACGGCCTGGCATGGCCTCGGCCGGGAGCTCCGATTGGTGCTCGGTGTCCCCTCCGCCATCACGCGCGGCCACGCGGCCCTCCTCCATGTTGGCCTCTGGCCTCATGTCGTCGGGACACGTACCGAGGGCGGCCGCGCCGCGTGTTCGTGTTGACGGCAGTTTCTGTTTTGTTTTTGTTTTATTGTGCCTCCGCGCGGCTATCGCGGCCGCCTTGTGAGTGAAAGCGCACGCACTGCTTCGGGGAGGGTGGGGTGCGTGTGGGGGTGGCTCTGTGCTCATGTGCCGTTCTTTTGGCCCGCAGACTCGATGCTGTGCTCGGCGAGCGAGGACGAGGAGGACGACGAGGCCAGCAACGCGGCCACGACGCCCGTCAAGCACCACATCATCCACCACCCCGGCGGCCCGCAGGAGACCAACAACAACTCGCTGCACGGGCCGCTGGCCGCCGACGTCAAGCCCAGCCACGACGACTCGGAGGACCAAGGTGAGTCGAGTTCCACTCGTGTTCTTCGCTAGTAGAGCTGCCAAACCGTGGAAAAGCCTCGCACTCACACACTGGCAGCATGCCGGTTTCGTTCGGCAGTCCAGGCGAGCGCTGCTGGAGTCGCTGGAGCTGCCTGGAGTGCCTCCTGGAGGACCCCGCCCCTCTTTTTTTCCCGGCCGGGGCGTTAGGATGCAGCCGATTGGTCTCGGTGCCTGCCGTGCCTGCCGTGGCCGCGGGGCCCGCTCGGGGTGCACGCGGCGCCGCGCAGCGCCGTGCACCACGCGGCAATAAAATGAAAATAGAAGCAAAACGCGCGTGGGGGTGCGGTTCGGTTCGGTACCCGCGGGGTAACTCGGCGTGCTTTTGTCTTTTTTTTGCGTGAATCTGCTGCTTGGGCGCTGTTAGACAAGGGTGCCGGTGTTTTGCGACCATTCCGCCGCCGTCTCCGCGGCGTTCCGATTCGCGCGGCGTCGCCGCGGACCTGGAATGCTGCGCTGGAGCCGCTGGAGCCGCGCCTCCCCCTCCAAGTCCATTCCGCGGCACGCGGGCGTGGCGTGGCGTGGCGTGCCAAGCTTTGTCCCGCCGCCGCGCTGCCGCTCTCCAGACTCTCCAGCCGCCTGGATCCTCCAGGAACCGCGGCGGTCCCCGCGTCCAGTGAAGGCGTGCCGCCGCGGCTCCGCGAGAGCGTCGCTCCGTCTCTCTCGCACTCGCGGGGCGCCCTACCTACACCGTGTGGGTGCGAGAGAGACGGAGCGACGGCGCTCTCGGAGTCGGCCCACTGGAGAGCCTGGCGGGGTGCTGGGCGTGCTGGGCGTGCGTGTCTCCGGCGGCGTGACCAATGGATTGCGCTGGACGGCCGTGGCGTGGCGTGGCGTGGCGTGGCGTGGCGTGGCGTGGCGTGGCGTGGCGGCGGGAGGGGTAGGGCGCATCTGTCGGGACGAGCGAAGCTCCTCGGACAGGCCGGACGGCCGGCCGAGGCGGCGCGGTATGCCTCCGGGCCAGAAAGAGACAGAGAGGGAGAGAGACAAAGAAAAAAGACAACTTTTCTACCGATTAAAAAGACAAATGGACAAGCGGCAAGAATGAAAAGTGCAAGTCGCGTCGTGATATGGATTTTTTTTTGGCCGCGAGGAGAAAGAAAATGCAAGAGGAGGAGGACGCTGTCATCCACTAACCTTCTTTTTTTTCCCGCTTCGGTTTGTTATGCCATGGAATGCACTGGGTGGTTTCGCGGCGCGGAGCGGAGTCAGGCCACACCTCCGGGAGGTGAGAGAGAGCGAGAGAGACGCGCAGAGACCCGAAGATTAATTTGGAGCGGATAGGAAGCAACCCCGGGGTCGGGCGGGGGTCGAACCCGGTCCCGGTGGGCGATCGATATTCAACCCGACGTGGCGGCCCGGGCAGGCCCTCGCGGTGTACCAACGCTGCTCACAGGTGCGACTTTGATGAGCATCATCCTCGGGGGAGCGACATCGCGAAGACACTCGGTCCGCGGCGCGGCGCGGCGCGGCGACGCGTCGGTTGGGGTAGGACAGTGTCGGACAGGCTCGGCATCTCTGTTTTCGTTTTGCCCGTCGGCGGGCCGCGCGTCGCGAGTTCGAAAACATGTGTTGATATCACAGCTGGGCCCCAAAGGCTGGGCCGGCCTGGCCGGCGGGTCGCGCCAAGTCTCTCTCCGCATTACACAGGTTGACATTTACGGTCCCGTCGTAAATCGCGTCGCTCGTTTCCGCACACCTCGCGGAAAGCTCGCGGTTCGCAGTGTAGGGGACCGTGGCTGGCTTGGTGGCCCCGGGGCCCAGCTCGGGGAGAGAGAGAGAGAGAGAGAGAGAGAGAGAGAGAGAGAGAGAGAGAGAGAGAGAGAGAGAGAGAGAGAGAGAGAGAGAGAGAGAGAGAGAGAGAGCTGTCGCGTTTTCCTTACTCTCAGACAACCCCCACGACGTTTGTCTAAAAATGAAAGATTCTGACCCTCAACTCGAACATTTCCTTTGAATTAATTCGATACTTTTATCAGGTTTTTTTTTCTGGGCAAGGCGCGATGTTTTGGTCGCGGAGTATAACGGATTTGGCACCGAGCGGGCGGAACGAACCGAAGCAGCGGACGAACGGGCCGGCCACTCATATGCATTCCATTCACAAAACGCGCGCGCCCCGGCCGCCACGGCCGCCACGGCCGCCACGGCGTCTCCTCGCGCGTTGCTGCGCGTCGAGAGTTGGGCAGCGACTTGACGACTGCGCCGGTCAGGGGTCAGGAGGCAGCACCGTAAAGTAAAAACGGTGAAACAGTGCCGGGCCCACTGGGGCCCACGCATCTCTCAACGAACGCACGAGCGCGCCTGTGTGTTTGTGTGTGTGTTTCTACTAACCCCGCGCGTGTCGTTAGAGGAGTTTAACTTCTAGTGAAATGAGGCGAGGTTGGTGACCGCTCTCTCCCTCTCTCTTTCTGTGTGTGTGATATGTGATGTCTTTTTCGCGTTAATTTGTGTTCAATTCGTCCTTGAGTGGACACATTTATTTTCGGGGGACTTGGCGTGACGTTCGCCTTCGATGGCGGTTCGAATTTCCTCCCCTTCCATAGGCGATGGAGTCAGTGAACCTGTTCGGCGGCCCCGTTGTTGTTGGCGCTACGGCGGCCCGGGACGCGCGGCGCGCCTCACAGGCCGCATTCGCCTCGGCCATTGTCAGTGTGCCCCCGTGTTGTCTTTGTGGGATGATCCGGGGTGGGCCCAGCTCTGCTCAGCTTGACGGTCTTGTTGTCGGCCCGCAGGCTCCCTGGACGGCGACCCCGAGACGCGGGACTCGCAGACGGAGAACAAGAGCCCCGACGACGGCAACTCGGGCTCCAAGCGGCGGGGGCCCCGCACCACCATCAAGGCCAAGCAGTTGGACATCCTCAAGACGGCCTTCTCGCAGACGCCCAAGCCCACCCGGCACATCCGGGAGCAGCTGGCCAAGGAGACGGGGCTGCCCATGAGGGTCATACAGGTAGGTCGCACTCGAAAAAATAAAAAATCGAGGAAATCTGGTTGCTTTTGGTAACAGTGTACGAGCTGACGTATTGAGTGCGCGGCGATCTGCATATGCCCCCGCCTCTCGGCCTTACGATGTCCACACATGGCGTGGCGGGGCGGGGAGGGGCGGGGCGGGGCGGGGCGGGGCGGGGCGGGGCGCGGACTCCGCGGAGTGACCTTCAAGTACTCCAGGTACATGAACCTCTAGGGCGTCGCCTCTGACCGCGCTTCCGTTCTCACAAGGAGCGCCCCGCCCCGCCCCGCGGCCACGTACGTCCGTCCGACCACACCGTGGAGCAGACGACCCATGACCCGGCCCCGGCGGAGACGGCATAGCTAGCGCTGCTCTCGGCTCGGACTGTACCCGAGACTGTACCGGAGACTGTACCGGGCTAATTAGTGGCCCGATGGATATGGAGGCGAGCAGAGCAGCAGAGCAGCCGACTCGACCCGAGCAGCGTCGACCGGACAAGAAAGAAAACAAGGAAAAAAAAACGAAAGCAGCAGCCGGCCGGCCGAACGGGCATTAGGAGCTCCGGCCAACAAAAGGAAGAGTGACGGAATAACAAATTCGTCAAATTTATCTGAGACGCGCCGCTTGTCTTAGTGCGGCCCTCGGCGCCCTCGGTGCCCGGGCGGACTGTACGGCCGGCACGCCGCTCTCCCACTCTTCGTTTTCGCCACCTTTTTACTCCCCGTCTCTTTTGCTCCTCATCCATTCTCCGCACTCTTCTTCTTTTTTCCCCCTCTGCATTCCTGTCAGCCTCCTCTGCCGCGCGTCCTTCCCATTTCCTTTTACTGCCCTTTTCGTCCTGTTCGTCCTTCGTGTTCTGTTACACCTTTCGCCATGACTTTAACGTGCGGAATCGGGCCGGCTTTTTAGTGGGGCCGAATGGGTGCAGCGGCGCAGGGACAGGCGGACGGACGGACAGACAGACAGACAGACAGACGCACAAACTGCACCTGGGGCCATGCAGAATGAGTCGTTCCATGGCGGGCAGGCCAGGCCAAGCCAGGCCAGGCCGAGCAAGGCGCAGGGTAGGCGACCCGGCCGCACGGCCGTCAGCGGGTTGCCTACGCTGTCGCAGCACGGCGCTCAGTAGCGCTGCCGCCGCTCGCCGGCTCGGCCAGTTACAGGTGTTTCTCGGCAGGGGACCTTACACCCGATCGAACACACGCACACACACTCACTCACAAAGGAGAATGCGCAGACACGTGAGAACCGACCGTCTTTGCGTGCTATTGGCTCGTATCGCAACGCGCGAAGAGATGTGTGTGTGTGTGTGCGCGCGCGAGTGTTTGTCTGTGTGTGTCTATATACCCGCGCGGCCGGCCGGCTCGCCGGAGAAGTGGCCATAAACTGCATCTGAAAAGGGCGAATAATTAATAGAACGTGTCCGCCATTAGAAGGTTGCAACATCGGCAGTTTGAATCGAACATGTTTGCCGGCGGCCTGGCTCTCGGCCTGGCTGGTCGCGGACGACTCACTCGGAGGGCTGCTGCAGGCTGCTCGGTGGCGGTGCGGTCGCGGACACTGGAAGTTGAACGGAGAAGGGTGTTGGGGTGCTAGGGCTGCCTCTTTCTCTGGCTGTGTCTGTGCGGCTCGGCTCGGCTCCGCCATGTGCCGCGCGCCACGCCGCACCACCGCGCACCGCCACTCCCAAGGCAGTGGTGGGGGGTGGCGGGGCGCACGGGCCCAGCGCCGCGGGGCCTACGGGGGCCATGCTTGGGCGCGGCGCGGCTCTCTTTATAAAATAACAAAAACAAAAACAAAGGGAGATAAGCGCCCCGAGGATGGCGGCTCCGCTTGGCTTGGCTGCTCGGGCTTTGCCGCGCTGAAGGGCCTACCGCGTCGCGCGTCGCCTAGGCAACATCTGGGCTTCGCTTTCGAGTTGCCCAAGGCAAGGCGCGGAGCGTCCGACTCCATTTTGCCGGGCCGGCCGGGGCTCTGGGTCTATCTAGGTGTCGGCCGTCCTGGCCGGGCCGGGCAGGGCCGCGCTAGGCCCCGCTAGGCCCACTGGGCCGGGCCCGCTGGCACACTGGCTCGGCCCGTCCGTATCTCCGCGCTACGCCGCTACGTGTCCGACTACATGTCCGAGTGAATGACAGACGCCTCCCCTCCTCCAGGCCTTTATCTGCCCATCTGGTTTGGGGCCTCGTTCGGCGCGACGCGGCGCGACGCGGCGCGACGCCCGGGACACGGTGTCCTTGCCGAAGTGCGCGGTGGGCCAGGTCCTCCCACAGGGACTCCACGGCGTTGTCCGGGCCGATAGGTCCGCGCGCAGGGTCCGGATTCCAGCCTGCTCGTCCGCGGGTTTCTCCAGGGCCGCGCTGCCATGTTCCAGATCCTAATCCAGCTCCCGCCTCGAGTCCGGGCTCGCCTTCCAGGCCGTCCAGGCCGTCCAGGCCCAGGCTCCTCCCACTGGACTGCGATGCACTCCGAAACGGGCCCGGTCCCGCCTCATTCCCTCGCTGCGAGCCGGGCTGGCTGTGCTGCGCTCCCCGAAATGTGGAAAAAGTAGATGGAACGGCCTCGATAAGGCTTTAATTATCACGACTCCTGCTCCGCGCATCGCCGCATCGCGTCTGCCTGCTTTCTCCCTCTCTCTCGCACTCACGGCCCCCTTGGAAGGGTGCGACAGAGCGACGAAGGCGTCGTTCGGAATCAGCCCCGCTCAAGTCGTGCCTCTCCATTTTCCCCGCGGAGTGTGTGGTTTTGGGCGGCGCTGCGGCGCTGTGAGGGGGAAGGCCTGAGCCTGCAGGGGGTCAAGCAGGCGTGGCGGGGTCGATTTGCGTCAGGTGTCGTGCGAGGGGGCAGTGCGCGGGCACAGCGCGGGCACAGCGCGACCCGCCCTTCCAAGCCTTCGGCAGGGCTCACTCGTTCGTGTCGTCCGCCAGTATGCGGCGGGCCCTGCCTGCCTGCCGGCTTGCCTGCAGGATTCCCGTTGCCGGCGTCGCCTGCTCGGTCTGGCCGACGTCGCCAGCAGCGTACCTGCCAGGGCCGGAGGGTTCGGTTACGAGGGTTTGAGCGCGTCGCCGGCTGCCGTGGCGTGGCGGTCAGGGTGCCCCTTGCGGTTCGAGGTTCGAGCTTGGAGCGCACGGCGGCGCGGTGCGGTGCGGTCCGTGCCCTGCACGCCCTGGCGGCAGGCGGCCCTGCTCCCGCGGTATGGTACGGTACGGCACAGCACGGCTGCGGTCGTCTCGACCGCACGGGAACCGCACGGATAGGCGCTGCTGCTGCTGGCGATGCTGCTGGCTGCTGTGGACGACGGGGCCCTCGGGGGCCTCCAGTCTAGAGCCCCGCGGCGTGCCGCGCCAAGGGCATTGCCGTGCCGCTGCCTGCGGACTCCAAGTCAGTCGCCATGGCAACGCGCCGTGCCGTGCCGTGCCGCGGTCTGGCCGTAGGCAATATTGTCTCGGCATCGCACGCCAGCGCCTCGGTCGGAGTATCTGTGTGTGTGTGTCTGAAATAAAAATAATAATTCGTCGAATTGTTTTGTTTTTATTTTTTCGAGCCAGTCGCTAACGCAAAATAACCGTAGGAGAGGAATGAATGTAACCTGCCGGGCCGAGCGACGGCCGAGCGACGGCCCGCGCTCTTCGCAGCGCTCCGCAGCTCCGGAGCTCCGCAGGCAGCCCTGTCACGTTCCATCAGCGCACCGTGACTCTTCCTCCGGGACGTGTTCTCCGTGACGGCGGACGCGGGGCCCATCGCGCGCCCGGTCACGCTCGCCGCCCCGCGGTCGCCCCGCCGCCGTGACGTCACGGGGGTCCATTGGTCCATTGAGAGCGCGTCACCCTAGTACAAGGACGGCCACGTCTCGTTTTGCAGTGCGGGCGGTCTTGTGTCGGGCCCGAAACGGCATACGATCATGTGTGGTCTAGCCCGTAGTGGTAATGGTAATGGCGGGTAGGCATCCCGGTGGACACGGGTGTCGCCGCACGCCGCGGTTGCCTGCCGTCACGGCGCCGTGGCTGGTGGGACGCACGCAGCACAGTGGAGGCGGCCGAAATCCCGGACGGGGTTCGAGCCCCCGAGTCGGTTAAAGGGACTCGAACCACTCGTGTGACCCCACCAATGGATTGCTCTCCGAACGAGGAATCCATTGGTGGGGTCACACGTTCGGTTCGAGTCCTGTTTAGCGCCTCTGGAGCTCAAAACGCGTCCAGAGTTTTTGGCTCCTGGCCCACTGTGCGCCATTAGTCAGTGAGTGTGGACGCCGTTTTGTCACCTCAAAGCCGGCTGGGCCCCGCTGGCGGCGACTTTGATATCTCACTTTATTCGCCGGCCGGGTCAGCTTGTAAGCCCCGGTCGGGCTGGCCGCGTCCACCACGGCAGAGCGTGCCGCGGCGCGCCTCCCGCAGCGCCAGCGAGTACGTCCGCGACGACAAGGGTCATCGCCGTCGTCACGAATGTGGTGCAGATGGAGAAGAATGGGAGTTTGGGGCCGCCGCGCCGCGCCGCCATGTAGAACAGGTTGCTGTGGCATTCCTGGCCGCCGCCACGCCAGGCCACGCCCCACTACACCGTGAGGGCCGTGAGGCACGAGGAGGTAGCCCGCGTGGCCGCCGTGCCGGCAGCTCGCACCGTGGTGGTCATGATACGCCCGAGAGGCGTGCACAGTGTAGGCCGCTGGCGAGCCGAGGCGTGACCGGCCATGGCCCTGCCCAAAATTCTCCCTGGACTCTGTAATTAAGGGAAGGAAAGACGAAGACCATGGGAACTGAGAAGTTTGGCCCCGAAAGAACGAAAGAATGGCGCGGCGACAAAATATGCCGACGCTTAGCATTTGCTTTGCATTCGCCGACAAGGAACAAAACCGAAAACGGAGTCTGTAGTGTAGGCAGTCATTGCCGGCGCTTTATTTAGCATATCGCGTTGGTGTGAGTGGGAATGGCGCCTCTGCGTCTGTGTGTGTGTGAGCACCTTATTGTGTAACGCTGGGGAGAGATATGTTGTGGCCCCACTCCTCCATTGAGAGGCGTGAAATGCATTCCCCCTCGTCCCTCCCCCTCCCTTCGCTCATTTCTCGTTGCCTGTTGTAGCTTATGCACCAGTGAATGGCCAACCGCTGTATTTCAAGAAGTCAGCTGTAAATAAGCCATATGAAGGCGCGTCCCCCCCCCCTTCCCGCTCCCCTCTCTCTTTCTCTCTGCCTCCTCTCACCTCTGCTCCCTGGCTTCTTGACGTGATCCGACCTTGTGTCTCCATTGATCCAACCTGGCAGTAAATTCACGTTTCTATTAAAAGCCCGAAAAACGGCGTGCGTTGCGTGCGGTGTGAGACATGGAGGTATTTTAGATTTGTGGCAAGTGTAGCGTGGCGTGGGCCGCGGGCCCAAGATGTGTGGTTTGCTCTCTCTCTCTCTCTCTCCTCCCCCCTCCCCTCCGCGCAGCGACGACGTGTCGCGCCCCGTCGCTCCCTCGCGTCTGCGCACTCCGTCACTCTCCCCTCTTCCTGTTGTGTTGCGCCCCTCCCAAGCGAGTGCACTGCCAAAAAGCGCAGGGCGGAGCGCTCGCGCCTTCCCGGGCCCCTAGAAGTACTAGCAGAGTGACACTTGGTTCGTCTCGCTGAAACGCAGCGGCGGCGGTGAAGAGGGCAGATGAAAATGGATCATCGGTGATAAGCGAGGAAGCGCGAAGCCCCGCTCACAAGTCAGTCCCTACCTACGCTGCCAAGCGTTCGCATTCAAGTGTGTGTGTGTGTGTGTGTGTGTGTTTTGCGGCGCCTCCCTTCATTTACGAGGGTAAACTGTGGGTTCCGCCGCAGCGCGGGCGGCGCCTCCCAGCGCGCCTCAGGTGTCGTATCGTCACGTGACGCGGTCCACCGTGACTGCGGCGTGACGCTGGCGTGACGAGATGCGTCGTCCCGGCGGCGGTCGATTACTCGGTCCAGAAAACAACGCCAACACCGCGGCACGCGGTGGGGCCGTGTTGTGCGGGGCGGCAGAAGAAGCGGCCCGAATTCTTGATATTAATTGAAAGGGCTGCAGTGCTGGCTGTCGCGCACGCCGCGGCCCGCCGCGCTTTTTGCCGGCATCAGTCGTGCCCTAGGCAGCCCCGGGCAGCCCCGGGAAGTCCCAGACCAGGCCGAAGACATCTTGAAGCAGCCTCCGAGTTACGCCGCGAGGGCAAAAAAACGGCGGCGAGGCACCGCCCGCCTCATCTGCGGCCGTCAGAATGCCGGGCGGCGTGATTGAAAGGACCGCGAGATGGCGCTGCAGTGCTGCAGGCAGGCTGGTGGCCGCGAGCCTCCCCCACAGTGAAGGAGTCTCACCGTCCCTTCCTTGTCCTTGTGTTGCAGGTGTGGTTCCAGAACAAGCGCAGCAAGGAGCGGCGCCTCAAGCAGCTCACGTCCATGGGCCGCGGCCCGTTCTACGGCGGCTCCAGGAAGATGCGGGGCTTCCCGATGAACCTCAGCCCCGGCGGCCTGGACGACGGCCCGCCCGGCTTCCCGTACTTCGCCACCGCGGACGGCAAGTTCGAGTTCGGCTACGGCGGCCCGCCCCCGTTCCACCACGACTTCTTCCCGCCCCACCACCCCCACCACGGGCCGCCGCAGCAGGGGCTGCCCTTCCCACAGGGTGAGTGCTCGTGGCCGACCAGTGGAAGAGGTGATGAAATTTTCAAGTAGATGAGGATTGTAACGCATTGTGGTTGCAGGACCCATGGACCCCGGCCCCATGCCCATGGGAGGCGACTTCTCCGGCATGGCGGGTGAGCCGCCCCCAGGCTTCCTCCCCCAGCCGCCGCCCCCCAACGACCCCCAGCTCATGTCCCAGCGGGCGAGTCCAGAGTTCCTCACGTCGCAAGGTGAGCCCCGACAATGACACCATCTACTGCGCGTTCTCCAGGGAGACCACGATCGCTAATGTTTTCGTTTCTGTCTTGTTCCAGGGGGCAACACCTTCTCAGAGCAGCCGCCCATGCAGAACGAAGGACTAGTGTGGTGATGAAGTGACTTGCTGCACGCAGTGCACGGACGGAAAGTGTTTGCCGTGTAGGCCTCGTGATATTCAGTGTGTGTTGCGTCCGTCGTCAGGGACGGCCGGCGCCGCACGACGACGGCCGAGTCCTCAGGACTGTCCTCGGGACTGTCGAGACCCTGGAGTCCTGGACTCTGCCGTGGCCCAGCCCTCGAAGAGCAGTCCCTTTGCTCTAACTGTGATACGCCACCATCGCCCCAGGACTCAGCGCCTCAGTGAAGTGTCGAAAGGATCAAACTGTTAATATGTCTTTTTTTTCGCCAAACTGTTACGACATTTTTTTGCTGTTGCTGTTCATTTTACTCTGAGGTTTTCTTGTTGTCATTATTATTTTTGTTCTTTCTCTGACTCATTCTCCCTTTCTCTGTATGAGTCTATTGTTACAAGATGATTGCTCTTCAATGCAATTTCATGGCTTGGAAAAGACATTACTTACATGGAATAAGGTTGAAATTTATTGTGAAGTTGTAGGTAAATCTGATTCCTGATATTAAAAAAAGTGGAACTAGATTTGTCATGCATTTTGAATGTCTCGCCTGTGTTATTTTTTGATAAATCGTACTATGAGAGCTAACTCTCAAACGTCAATCAGCAAATGCTGATATTTACAAATTTGATGTTAAGTATTACTGGCGTTGTTTTGTAAGGATCAAGCGGTAGTTTCTGAAATCTTTTTCTTACATACCCAGTATTGTGCAGTCATTTGGACTGACCAAATTCTCATGCCAATTAGTTTGCAAAAAATTGTGTTGGAGATTTGAAAATTGTTTTATGGTGCTAATAACACATCGTTTTTATTATTTATTTGAAGTTACCGTTTGATTTGTTTCGGCGGCGTTCCTGCCATGCTCATCGGTCTCATTTCCTCACTCAGTTGTTTCATCACGTTGTAAGAGAGTTCGCTCAATGCTTGAGGTGTTTTTGTTTCACCATCCTAAATACAAACGGAAGTTTCCTTGTCATATACGTAACTACCTTGCGAAGTTCTGTGTTGCTAGTGTATCGTTTTTCTCTCTATGCCTCTCCCTTCGATGATTTACAGACGTAAATTGTAAGAATGGATGTTAGCATTTAACTTTTTTATGTATACAACGCACACGGCGGGAACGTACCTTTCCACGTCAACACCTCTGTACATAACAATCATATATAAAAAATATATTATGTATATGTATAATTATAACAGATTTTTCCTTTGTAAATATTGCACTTGGAATATTATGTTTTTAAAGTGAGTAATATTGGACCGCCAGTCGCATCCCCTGAGAGGAGTAGAGAGAAATCGAACCCAATAAGAATTCGCTCGCCGAATAAGTGTACGCGAACAGCAATAAGCCTGTGTTGTTGTGAGCTTGAAAGAGGTTCATCAGTACATCAGTGTTAGTTGAAGTAGAGCACAATGGGATTATGGTTTCTATTCATCCCTGTCAAATAAATATATCAATCAAAGCTTGAAAATGTGATAAACTTGCAAGGAAGCAATCCAAGGTCTATAAGTTATTCTGATTGAAACAAAAGATTGTGCCGTTTTGTTCTGCTGATGTGTTTTGGTCTGGGATGTTTTTGCCCGTACATGAGGAAAATATACCATAATTGAAACAAATCGAAACCAACCGCGTCGTCTTTATTGCCCACTCTTATACCAAACTTGAAAATCGAAAAGGCGACAAAAATGAGTGTTACTTTCGCCGTCCGGGAACGGGGCGTGGAAAACATGCCGTGTCCCGCCGATGCCCTTGTGCGGAGGACGAGGAAGAGGAGTCATCTCGCTGCGACGGATCGATTCAAAACCGATCGCCTTCTTTGAGTGCAGCCGGGTAGCCGCGCGCGCGGTTACGTGACAGTAAAGCAGCCACATTGCATGTAAACAAACACGAGGCAGGCGACAGATTCGCTTCGACCGCCATCCATCATGGTGTAGCGACTGACGCACGATGCCCCGCGGCCCGACTACTGCTGATATTTCGGAGAATCAGGCAGGCCCCGGCGGTCGGGGTGGGGCGCGGCGAGCGCGGCGACCCGTGTGAACCTTGACACCGGCGCGAGAGCAGCCCCGCGGAGCACGCAAGTGAACACAATTCGTTGTGTATCGAGCCACAGTCCCGTTTATTCCGACCACAATGCGTAGTCGGCTGTCGAATGCTCTGCAAAGAATTGCGTTCTCCTGCTGCCGATGACTGGTGGCTGGGTTGGCTGCCGCGCCATGCGAGCCATGGTGGAATGAAATCTCGGGTTCAATTCTCATTTGGGGGCTAAAACGTCAATCGCTTTCACGATTGCAGCAGTTGATGAGAATTTAAAGAATCGTCTCAACCAAAATTGTTCACGTCTAAGAATCATTCCGGATACCATTCTTATTTCGGCACTCCCCACGCGCTTGAAACCGAACCGCCGAGTACTGTAGCCCCGAACATCACAAAGCCAACGACACGGAACACATCTAACTGGCCAAAACAAAAAGGGGCCCGCTCGAGGGGCGCCCTGTACTGCCGTGGCTTGCCGTGGCTTGCCGTGCCGAGGTGGTGGCGTCCAGTGATTGATGATGCTTTTCTCGGAGAGATGACTCGAAGCTCCCCCCTCCCCCCTCACACCTGCTGGAGCCCTATCCGCCCTCTGGCTGCTGCTGCCGCGGTGCTCCGGAAAGGCGCGCCGCTGTAAGTCGGACCGCGCCAAGTCAGGGCGAGCCAAGGCGAGCCAAGGCGAGGGTGCTGCAAAAACGCCCGCCCGTTTCACGTAATTCTCTCTGGTCCGCTGGCATCCTTTGGAGCCTGGCTCCTTCCGCCGGCCTAGAGGCCTCCGGGTCTCCGGAGAAGCTGCCATGCTCCACATTTTGGCGCCTCAGCGTCCCACGCAGTCTCACGCTGGCAAAACTGCGCACGTCACCCGGCTGGGCGGGCTGGGCGGGGTGGAGAGCGCCTTGTAGATCTCAAGACTGCAACGTCGGTGGCAGCTACGCCTTGCTACGCCACTGGGCGGCACCCGCGCCAGTCGGCCAAAGAAACATGGCTCTCGGTCCCGCCCCTCGCCCAGCCCGGCGCAGCCCGCCGCTCGGACCGCGCGCTTTTATATACTTCTCATAAATTCATAAACCATTATTCCAAAGAGAAATATTCGAATGAGCGCGCGCGCGCGGGACCGCCCAAACACCACCCGCACGCATATTTCCTTGATTTATTATTTCAACAAAAGGTAGAGGAGCAGAAGTTGCGTCCGTCGTGACTTTTGGCCGGCCAGCGGCGGCCGCGGCTCGCGAAGCGCAGTGCTGCCAATAAGAAGTGTCCCCCGTCCAAGATGGCGCGCGCATGATGCATAGGTTGGCAGCACTGCCGTTAAAGGTGTTTATAGTGCAGGCGGCCAGACAGAGTGGTGCCCGCACAGGCCTACCGTCGGGCCACGCCCCGCCACGCCCCGCCACGCCCCGCCACGCCCCGCCACGCCCCGCCTTGACCGCCTGTGGCACAACGCGCCTATCTCGGCCGCCAGGCACGGCAGGCACGGCACGTAGCGAAGCGGCAGACCGACTCCGAAGAGCCGTTTCGACGCTTTGTCTCTGTCGGACGCGCGGCCGTCCCGCGGGGGTGCGAGAGAGACGGACAGAAACGACTGTTCGGAGTGGGCCGGCGGGACAGGCAGCTCGTGAGAAGGTACGCCCTCCGCGCGGGCAGGGCAGGCAGCGCCGGCAGCGCCGGCCACGACAGTCGTGGATTGAAACGGGAGGGGAAAGAACCAGCTCTTCGGACAGAAAATAATAAAGTCTCGCAAATGCTAGATACGGGCATTTTTGGACGAAAATCAACATGAATGCGGGAGAATTTGTGGACCCACAGAATGTGTAACTCTTTCAATGACAGACTTTTTTCTTAGGGCGTTATCAAGGGAGCCCTACGCCCTACCGCGCACCGCGCCGCGCCAAAATAACAATGCTCTGCCGGGTGGTCCTTCGCTGGAGCGCCGCGCCCCCCCCCGCCCCGCCCCGCCAGCTCCCCGCCGCCACCAACAAAGGCCGCAACAGTATAACACATGTCGCCGCAACCCTCCCTCCCTCCCCGCGCCACGCCGCGCCACGCCGCCAGGCTGCCACCCCCCGCGAGCCCAATATGTCGCTGCAGCCAGCCAAGCCAGCACGGCTCATTTTTGCACGCTCAAGTCCCGCTCAGCCAATAACAATCATTCCATTTTCTTTCCTTTTCTATTTTTTTTTAACGCCGCGGAAGGACCTGGCGGTTTATCATCGTCCTTTTCGCTGCGTTCGTGGGGCGCGGTGCGGCGTCAGCAGCGCCGGAAAGAGGTGTGCCTCGCTCAGCCCACTGACTCGCTGCGTCTCTCTCGCACTCACGGACTCTCCCTATGGGTGCGAGAGAGACAGAGCGGCGAAGCAGTCTCTCGGAATCGGTCTGCAGCAGCAGAAAATGGAGGCAGGGCCGCCGTCGCTGGGGTCGCGTCCGTTTTCGCCAACACCAGAAGGGTCTTGGGGTCGCCGGGATACAAATTGGTGCCCTCTGGCGACCCCCCCCCCCCTTCTCTCTCTCTCTCTCTCTCTCTCTCTCTCTCTCTCTCTCTCTCTCTCTCTCTCTCTCTCTCTCTCTCTCTCTCTCTCTCTCGCTCTCTCACCGCGCTTGCAATCTGTCGCCACGCCAGGTGATTCGAGATTGCGGTCATCTAGAGCGGGGCGGGGCGGGCCATCACGAAGTGCACGAAGCCGACTCGTTTCCCGCCAAAAATCAAACGGCGCCTCGGATGCGCCGCTCAGCAGCCCCGCTGGCGGAGGGAGGCCCCGCGGGGAAAGATTTGAAATAAATTGAGAGGAAGGGAGGGGGAGGCATAAGGTGGATAGGGGTGCCAACAGCAGCGGGGCTGCAAAACGAGTTGCACCCCCCGAGGAGCTCGAGTACATAAAGATGGCACTCCCTCCCGCCACCCCCTCTCCAGTTACCACCGTCCCGGAAAAAACAGCCCCGGGCGTAAAAGAGACGGGGGTTTGTTTGGCGGCCGCTAGAGGGTGCGCACACTGTGCACCGCGTAGCTGCGTGTGTGTACATAGTTGGGGAGTCGGCGCCGCTCGGCGGAATTCCCCTTTAAAACAGACTGGGGCGGGAATTTCGAAGCGCAGCGTGCGCTGGTGCACTTCGCTTTTTTGCCGTCGAGTACAGACACACAGACATGTGCTCAAACTTGCACACAAACACACACACACACGGTCAGGCCCTGGGGACACACACACATACACACACATGCACAGGCAGGCGGGGCAGGATTCTGCATTCCGCGCTGGACTGAGGACACACTGTAGCGCACAAGGCCAAAGCGTAAGACTGGGCGTACATAAGCTTCCACCCCCCACAATTTTTTTTGGTCGGAAAATGAAAAGAAAAAGTCGAGTTGTGCAAACACGCAGGCAAAGCACAGCAGCACACTGTGGACTGGCGGGGCGTTGCGGGGCGTCGTCGAGCAGCAGTGGAGCAATGAAGGCGGAAAATCGGGGAAAGCCGCTTTGAGGTGCCTAATCCTCATGAGTAATTGAGTACCGAGTGTCTGCACTGTCTGCGGAGGGGCAAAGACTGCCAACGGGGCACTGCAAGTTTTCCAGTGGCGGATCCAGACCCGCCGTGAAGGTGGGCCCAAGCTGCACTTTTAGTCTCACAAAGTGTGGCTTTTTGCGTACTTTTAAGGCGGCTTTCCAGGGTGCAGGGACCAATTTCTGGCCCCCCCCTTTTCCGAGCCAAGCGGGAGAAGCGGCACAACACCAACGCCCCGCGCGGCAAGAATAGCCGTTTTCCGAGAAACCAAAATCGGAATTTAGGGAAATGGCGCCGCAAGGCCTTTGTCAAGGTCCCCGCTGTTACGTACTCGTGGAAGGGAGGCCCGGCAGGGGGTCGCGCGTGGCGGGGCGGGGCGGCGCTGCAGCGGGGCGCCCAGCGGGGTCCCTAGTCACACCATGCCAACCTGTCACAGACAGACGTGGGCGCGGCGCGGCTGTCCCCGTGGCGTTCTTTCTCCGCCCCGCCCCGCCCCGCCCCACCTGGCGATCCGAACACGCTCCGAACACTCCGCGCGCGGCGTGCGAGTGGGACCCGAACTGAAATGAACGAGAAATAACAAAACGAAAGGGAAAGCTCGTTGCGGCCGGAAAAGGGAAGAGCAGCGAGGAAAGGGGAAGTTTGGCGCGAACGCGGAAAAATTTAACGCCGGAGCCGGGAGGAAAGTAAGTCTCTTCCGCGCAGCGGACGGACAGACAGACAGACATGCAGACAGACAGACAGACAGACAGACAGACAGACAGACAGACAGACAGACAGACAGACAGACAGACAGACAGACCGCAGGCAGGGTGGGCGTGCGTGGGCTTGCGGGCAGAAGAGCGCCTTGTTCCGGGGGACACCGACAAGGTATAGAATCATGACAGATGGAGAGCGGGCAGCGCCACGCCGGGAACGCCTCCACTCCGCGAGCGAGGTGCCGGCGGCACCGTCTGCCCCCCGCGGCCGCCTGGCCGGCCTGGCGGGCCTGGCCGCCTCGCTTGGGGTGGAAATGGGACAGTTTGAGGGGGAGATACACGGGCTGCAGCCACGGAGTACGGGGACGGATCCCGTATGCCGCGGAAGCGTCCGC